ATAGCCAAAATATGGAATCAACCAAGTTGTCCATCATCAGATGAATGGCTAAAGAAAATGTGAAATATGTGTAAGTATACAATGGAGTATTATCCAGCTTAAAACAGAATGAAATGCTATTATTTGCATCAAAGTGGCTGCAACTGGAGATCATCATATTGAGTGAAATACACTGGACACAGGAAGACAAAGACTGCACGTTCTCCCTTAAACATGGAAGCTGGAATTAAAGAAAAAAATCAAAGAAACAAAAAAGAAAGGTGCAAATACAGCTTTCTCGCACTTTTGGGTTATATCTTTGTCAAACAAATTGTTAAGAATGATATACTATAGTTTTAATGATCTGTGATTGTTTTAAAATTTACTGTATATGAATGAAATGGACATCTTTTCATTTGATTATTGTTTATACTCCTTGTCTATATACCTGCTGAACTACAGTCTTTTTTACTTTTTATCAGTTGAACTCTTTATGTAGTAGAGCATTAAGACGTTGACTATAATGACTACAATTAAAAATGTCATTTCTGGAAGAAAACAAATCAAAAACCAAAAGCAAAAAAGAAATGGCTATGTCTATCAGTTTTGCTGCAAATATAGTGTTTTGTCAAACAAATTATTAAGACTGATATACTACTATCGTTTTAATGATCTGTGACTATTTTAAAGTTTAATATAAATGAGTGAAATGGATATCATTTCATTTGATTACTATTTATAGCCCTTGCCTATGTTCCTGTTTAATTTATGATCTTTTTACTTTTTATTGGTTCAACTTTTTATTTAGCAGAACAGGAAGCCTTTGAGTATAATGCAAATTAAAAATGTTATCTCAAAAATTTTTTAAAAATTAAATTAAAAAAATGCCCCAAGCACTCCCACCCCTAGGAACTACAATGGCAGAATATGCTAAAAGAGAACTGGTACAGATCCCAGAATTACTGTCACGTTTTGTCTGAGATTTGAATCACCAGACCAGCCACTTTAAACTGAACCTCAGACACCCTGGCCAATAAGCAATGAAAAGGATCTGGCGAGTGAATACAACTCAGAGACCGGCAAGTCACGAGGAGCTGGCATTTCCACTGCACGGAGTGTGGATGAGGAAGGGCCTGTTTTCTTTTACATAGATGCATCTCCTTCCAGTGGGCTGCATGTCGGAGTGAGTCAGGAAAGAGAAACAGGGTTGCTTCATTGTGCCAAGTTTTCCTATGGCTGACAGGTCATCCTTACCCTAGCTGACAAACAACCTCACAGCTCTTTCCTGATGCTCTAAACCTTAGTGATCCACCAGGGAATGTTCAGTTTCCCCCAGAGTGCATGGGAATACATCACTCAGGGAAACAACCCTCTTCAACTCTGGTCCTCTGCCCTCCCCAGAAATCCTGCTGCCCCATAGAGATTGTCAGTTATCCGCAGATCTTTGCACTCAGGGATCTCTGCACAGCCATCCACAAGACAAAGGCAAATTTCTATCCCCCACAGTTTTATTTTTATTTTTTCCCAATTCCCATCTTCAGCTATTCCATTTTTTTAAATTTCTGGTGGTACACAACCAACTTTCACAGTTAAGCCCACTATTATTTTAGCGTTGGTTTTCACTGTTGGTGTGTTTCATGGCAATGACATTTTTATGTATAATAAATTAGATTTATTGAAAGGAGTAAAGGAAAAGATGCTGACATTTATTAGAACAAATTTTAAAATGAAGCACAAAGAATTCAAAGTGCCACAACATTAGCAAAGTTAGACGTGAAATCTTACATTACCCTTAAGAATGTTCTCATCAGCTTAATTTGTTTTTACAAGAAACTCAGGCCATAAGCAGCAATGTCACCCCCACTTTGTAGATGGGAATTTAGACAGAGAAACATTAAATTCCCCCTCTACCTTCAAGAAGTAGCCCATGCCATCTACCACCAACCCCCATGTACCAAATGAACATCAGTGAATTTAGAGTTGGCCTCTGTGTGTCCCATGAACCCCTGTAATCAATTCTCCACGTAGTACCCAGAGCAGAACACACTTTTTGTTTCTCATTGAACTTAGACAAAAATCTAAAACATGGAAAAAAAATCTACGAGGCTCTGCCCAACCTGGTCTCTTCCTCCACCTCCCTCTAACCCCCTTTCCCGCTCACAGCCACACCCGTGCCTCCAACACTCTGTATTGTTTCTAGGACATTATGCTTATTTTCCCATCTTGCTGGGGTCTGCTCTCAAATCTACCTCTTAGAGAAGTATCTCTCTTAAGACCCAACTGAGGCCGGCGCCGCGGCTCACTAGGCTAATCCTCCGCCTTGCGACGCTGGCACACCGGGTTCTAGTCCTGGTCAGGACGCCGGATTCCGTCCCGGTTGCCCCTCTTCCAGGCCAGCTCTCTGCTGTGGCCAGGGAGTGCAGTGGAGAATGGCCCAAGTCCTTGGGCCCTGCACCCCATGGGAGACCAGGATAAGTACCTGGCTCCTGCCATCGGATCAGTGCGGTGCGCCGGCCGCAGCGCGCCAGCTGCAGCGGCCATTGGAGGGTGAACCAACGGCAAAGGAAGACCTTTCTCTGTCTCTCTCTCTCACTGTCCACTCTATCAAAAAAAAAAAAAAGACCCAATTGAAGAAGTCAGGATACTCCTACCTGTCTAACACACACACACACACACACACACCCTGCACAAAATGACATTATTCCACACTGCTCTATTTTTCTTCAAGATATTTCTCACTACAGGCACTCATTTTGCTTAATGCTCAATTCTAATATGTGAATTCAATGCCAGCAGAGAGCATATTGCTTTTATCCACTGCTCTATCCTTAGTGCCTGGTACCTACTAGCTGCTCTTTTTTTTTTTTTTTTTTTTTTTTTTTTTTTTTTTTGACAGGCAGAGTGGACAGTGAGAGAGAGAGAGACAGAGAGAAAGGTCTTCCTTTTTGCCGTTGGTTCACCCTCCAATGGCCGCCGCGGCCGGCGCGCTGCGGCCGGCGCACCGCGCTGATCCGATGGCCAGGAGCCAGGTGCTTTTCCTGGTCTCCCATGGGGTGCAGGGCCCAAGCACCTGGGCCATCCTCCACTGCACTCCCTGGCCACAGCAGAGGGCTGGCCTGGAAGAGGGGCAACCGGGACAGAATCCGGAGCCCCGACCGGGACTAGAACCTGGTGTGCCGGCGCCGCTAGGCAGAGGATTAGCCTAGTGAGCCGCGGCGCCGGCCTAGCTGCTCTTTTTTTAAACAGAAAAATGAATGGACTCAGCTCCTTCTAGGAATCAACTAGCTAATACTCATTAAAATCTATGCTTATAGAACACTTAGTCTTTTTCCTTCTCCTCCTTGCTAATTTTATATTTTGAAAAAAAAAAAAGCTGCATGCTTACATTTATTAGCCTGTTTCTCTCAGTGTTTATGAGCCATCCCTGCATACTGAGCGGAAGGTACGTAACGCATGCCTGGCTTCCTAGGGAAAGGCAGCAAGCACCCACGGCTCATGCCCTCAAACCACAAAGCGTCCCCAGAACTCTGGAACTCTATGATTTTAGGACTAAATGTTCTCCGTCAATTTCTTTCATTCAACATGTTCACTTCAAGGCTTATGTTTTAATGGAACTTTCTCACCTGGAAGGGTCAGTCAGGCTCAATGCAGCGAAAAAACAAAATCAGGTTTAAGATGAATCTTCTTATTAAAAACCCGATGATTGCCTCCTTTTCCAGGAAAGGTGCATCTTCTGGGGTGTCAGGCAAAGATACGTATAGCAAGGCAGCTCCTAAACTCCATCTGACTTTGCCAGGGGCTGCTCAGGTCTATATAGAGTTAGAACCCTCTAGGCCACGGAGGCCTAAACTGCAAACCTGATGAAACTGGCACTAGTGAGAGGCTTACTGCTTGGGAAAGCCCCTCCCCTGAGACATTCCACACAATCACCATAAATGTCACCAGGAAGCCTTTGTGCCCGTCCCCTCCCACCTTACCAGGGTCCATGTAGCCCTCTGCACCTCCCCAACAAGCCGCTGAAGAAGCAACTCCGGGGGGGGGGGCGGTGCTGTGGCGCAGCAGGTTAACTTTGCACTCAGGGATCTCTGCACAGCCATCCACAGGACAAAGGCAAATTTCTATCCCCCACAGTTTTATTTTTATTTTTTCCCAATTCCCATCTTCAGATATTCTATTTTTTTAAATTTCTGGTGGTACACAACCAACTTTCACAATTAAGCCCACTATTATTTTAGCATTGGTTTTCACTGTTGGTGTGTTTCATGGCAACGGTATTTTTACGTATAATAAATGAAGCGCTGGCATCCCATATAGGCACTGGTTTGAGTCCCAGCTGCTCCACTTCTGATTCAGCTCTCTGCTATGCCTGGGAAAGCAGTACAAGATGGCCCAAGTCCTTGGGCCCCTGCACCCGGAGACCCAGAAGAAGCTCCTGGCTCCTGGCTTTGGATTGCTGTAGTTCTGGCTGTTGTGGCCAATTGGGGAGTGAACCAGCAGATGGAAGACCTTTCTCTCTCTCTGCCTCTTCTCTCTCTTTGTAACTCTGACTTTGAAAGCAAGCAAGCAAGCAAGCAAGCAACTCCACCAGCTGCCCAACCTGAAGGGAGCCTGGCTTGAAACCGCCTGCCCTCTGACCAGGCAGGCTGAACCCCCTCTCCGTCCCCTCCCCTCTCTGTCCTCTTCTACTTTAACTAGCCACCTCCTCGCTTTCACGTTTCTTAATGCTCTCTGCTGCAAGAGCTTCAGAGAGGGCGCTGAGTTGCATCTGGGTGCAAATCAACCGGGTGAGGGGATGTGGTTAGGTCCGTGAGAGTTCCTCCTCGCTAAAGAGTTGGAAATAAGGAACCAGCTGTCCGGGGATCTGTTTTGAGGGTCAAGTCCTGGGTGCTGGGCAAGTGGTTCACACCTCAGGAGGGATTTCTCAACGGCACCACCAGTGTGGCTGAACCGTCGCAACAGCCTCCCTAACTCTTCAGTGGCTCCTTTGTTGTCAGAGACAGTTTGCAGACCCGGGTACTGACCTTGAGGGACTCACTGCAATACAGAGCATGGCCACGTGGCTAGCCGCAGCTCCTCCTGCACAAATGTTTGGGACAGCAAAAGCACCGCCCAGTGGCCAAGTGCAAGCCGCTGTGGCAGCCACGCTGGAAGATGCAAAAGACGAGAATTCGCTCTGTGAAGCAGACTACCTGGATGCCGACAGCTCACCTGCGCCTTACTGAGCAGGACACTTCTTAATGACCCAGTGTTCACCCAAGTTTAGTCCTCGGCCCCCTGGGACTTCAGGTGATGGAAAAATTTGCTGGTGCTATACCGGTCTCCCAGCTCAGCATTCTCATTTGGATGGAAGAAAAGTTGTGGCAGGCTGAGCCGCGCGCACCAGGAGACCTGCTTGCCTTTAAGGATCCACTCACACCTCGCCAGCGAGCCCAAGAATCACAAGGTGCAGAGAAGTACGAACTTCTTTGCAGCGACAGGAGCTTCCAGTCGGAGCTCGAGGAGAGGAAGAGAAGAGCAATGTTCTTCTGTTTTCCGATTTTGCCAAAGTTGTTTATAAAGCTCAGGCGTCCTCTTAACGCAGGGGAGAATAAGCTTTGATTTTACCCGGCCAGCAGGAGGCTGCTCCCGGGTGCGGGATGGAGGGTGAGGGAAGGGATGGCTTTGCTTTTATAATTCTGTTCCTGCAGCAGCAGCAGCTCAGAACTGGGCTCCCCAAAAAGCAGTGCGCCCCTAAAGCGTGTGTGTGTCCCAGTAGGTGACCTACACACAAGATAACTCGTGACCCGATTCTTCCCTTCAGCACGGAATTCTTAGGGTTGCTTTCTCGGGAAAAGTTTGAGAGAACTGGCTTTGAGTCCCGTCACCCCGCTGAAGGGCCGGTGCGAGCCCAGGCAGCTAGTCCGGGCTGCCAGCCCCGCGACAGCGCCTCTCCTCTCGCTCCCACCTCGCCGCGGCCGCCGCCTCCCCAGCTTACCCGGACGCAGCCTAAGCTGCTCGCGGGAACCAAGCTCCGCGGGCGCGTTCCGCACTCACCAACACGACCCGAGTGCGCAAAACACCACTGCTTCTAGCCGCCAGCTCTGCGGGGCCTCTGGCCTGGTGCGGGCACCGCGGCTTCGGGGGGACCGGCCAGCTCCGGGGTGGGCAGCGGGGGCAGTGCACTCGGCCCGCCCCGCGCCGCCTGATCGCCCCGACCCTCTCCTCCCCCAGCGCGGCGGGAGGAGGGACAGGGAGGGGCGTGCGGCCGCCGGCCTCCCGCCCGCAGCGGCGGCCCGGGACGCCAGAGTGCTCCCGCGCGCCCGACATCCCCCGCCAGGGCTCGGGTGCCGCACCCCGGAGCCCCACGGTGGCCGGGGTGGCGCTATGCTCCCCAGTTGCTGCTCTCAGACAGGGTCCTGATCAGCTGTGGCAGGCTGACCTGCGCACACCAGGATCTGTTCCTTGCTTAATTCGCCCACAGCAAGCCCATCTTGCTGGTTTCATCGCGTCCTCTGCATTCACGATGTTCACGAAATCACAGCCCACGCATCTGTGGTCTCAAGTGCCCTCTGGGTCGCACGGCCTGCGTGGTGTCCGTCTCATTTCTCCGTAGAAATACAGCGGGCAGAACGGCTCTGAGCTGTGGGCACCTCTTTAGAAGAGGGGTATTTCATAGCTCATTTAAACCCAGAATTAACTGGGGTTTAACTCAAACTTCCTCCTTTATTTTCCAACGCTTTGCCGCCATTCATTTTCTAATCAATTAAAAAGTAATCATTTAAACCCTCAGAAACTCAGTAAAAGTGATTTGATATGCGTGTGTGGTATTAAAGTTTTACATTTTTTAAGATAGTGGAGTTTTTTTTTGGCGAGGTGAGGGAACTGGAGACAAATTTGTCTTTGCACTGAGGTCTCTGCAGGAAGAAGACACAGGTGGTCGCTTGTTTCTCCCATTTACTGGTGGCGTGACCCTGGGCAGGTGCATCCTCTCTGCCTCTCAGTCTCCTGGGCCCTAAAATAAAGATAATCGAAGGTCAACCCCAGTCACCTGGTGAGAATGACATGCAAATGCATGTGAAATGCTAAGGCCCCAGCCTGGCCCACAGAAACATTCATCCAGTGTGTGTCACCTAAAACAAACAGCTTTATAAAAGCAGTAACTTAATAAAGATTTTCATAAAACTGTATCGGCCTCATGACCTTTTCCTGTATTTCCCGGATTTGTCCCCTGTGCACTGAACAGCCCCAGAGTATTAATCTAAAAAGTACCTTATGCCTCACGTAGGAGAACTCCGAGTCCCTCCATTGGTTTACCTTAAAACCAGATGAAGAAGCCGGAGAGCCAGCACCATACCCTAAAGGGGTGAACTTTGAGAACAGGCCTGGAAAGGAATATAAAATATTTTATGCATACTACCTCCTACTGTCATCAGATCATACTCCCCGGGGATTCCCAGGGTAGCTGGCATTTTGCAGATTAGTGCCCTGAGAAATACCCAATGTAGAGTGCCCAGATTTAGCAAATAAAATGGTAAGACATTCAGTTAAGTCTGAATTTCAGATAAATAGCTTTTTAGTATAAGTATTTCCCAGCAATATTTCAGATATACTCAAAATGTATTTGTTGTTTGCTGGAAGTTCAAATTTAATGAGGGCCACTGTATTTTATCTGGCCAGCTGATTAAGTGAAATTAATAGGGGTGGATGTTTGGTGCAGTGGTTGTCTCTTGGGACTCTTACCACTTTTATGGGAGTGCCTGGTTTGTACTTCAACCACTTGGCTTGATATCCAGCTTCCACTAATATATACCCTTGGGGGGCAGAGAGACCCACATAGAGTTCTGGGATCCTGCCCTCAGTCTGGCCTAGTCCTGGCTGTTGTGGATATTTGGAGAGCAAATAAGTGGGTAGATCTATTTTTGTCTCCCTTCCTTTCAAATAAAATGAAAATAAACAAAAAATTTTTTAAAATAAGAGTTAATAATATTTCTCACACTCCAAAAGGCAAAGTCAACACAGACACATAGATTATAGGGTGAGTCTAATGTGGGTTATATTTTAGTTTTATGTGGTGAAAGTACTGTGTTTATAAGTTGGTTCTTTGTTAAGCTATTTCTTTTTTTCTTTAAACTTATTTATTTGAGAGACAGAGATAGAGGCAGACTGACAGCTTCCATCCTCTGGCACATTCCTCAAATACTAGCATTGGCTAACACTGAGCCAAGATCAAAGCTAGAAGCCTGGAATTCAATCCAGACCTCCCAGGTAGATGGCAGAAACCTAACTATTCAAGCCATTTCTGCTGCCTCCCAGGATCTGCATTAGCAGGAGCCTGGAAACAGGGAGTTGGAACTGCAAAGGGAACCCAGACATTACGAAATAGGATGCAGACATCTCAACCAGCATCTTAACCACTAAGGTAAAATTTATCCTGCTCCTCCTGTTGAACTATTTCTTTCCTCTTAATTGCTGCTCCCATTTCCCACCAACAGGTAGTGTTTATTGGCTCTCTAATACATGTGAAAGTGATGGCTCATAGCTTCAATCAATACATTTGATTAAACTGTAAATAATGCACTAGTGAATTTTAATTTAGATAGTGTATAACTAAGTGCCAATTCCATGTTAGTCATTATCTCAAGTCCACACCCTGAATGATAAAAAAAAAAAAAACAGCATAAAATGCTACCCATATAAGTAAATACAGAGTCTATGGGACTTCAGTGAAATGAGTTATTGTCTTGAGAAAGATGTGGGCATGTTCCTCATTGTAAGAGATGCAATCTAAATTGACTGCAACTCAGTTGGACAGAAGGGAAGATCTCAGGGTGGTGTCTATGCTTAGTCCTAGACACAATCCTTCTTGACGGGAAAAGGAAGGCTGTAGGGAAAAATGGAACTCGATACAACTGAAAATATGACAGATACTTGTAAATCTTGTGTTTGTTTGAAGGTGACAGAATGCAAAGGAAAAAAAATTTTTCAATAAAGTCTAAAGTAAAAAATAGGAACTCTAAGGAAGAAATATCAAGGAAATACTTAATGCAAGTGTGATGCACCTTAATATGGATCAATTTAGAACTACGGGGGCTGGTAGGGGGTGTAGTTCAAATAGGAGTCTCCATTTAAATTTGAAATCCAAGAATGGCCGAGAGAAGCAAGCATGATCAGAGTGTTCCACTAGATTGCAGAGAACAGTGCTCCCTCAATCTAATTCTGGAAGCAGTGCTTATTGATTTTCAACTTGTAGACAAGCCATAGAAGAATAAACTGTGGCTGTGTAAGAGAATATAAAATGTGGATTTTTTTATATGGACAAGACTGTAGGAGTGAGGAGCCAGGGAGAGAAGGTTGGGTGACAAAGGTGTTCGTTCCAGAGTGGAGAGTCAAGAGACCCTGTCTACAGCTGATGGAAGAGGACGCAGAGGTTTGAGTATGCAGAATCTTTGCAGAGAGAAGACAGTAGTGGGTGAGCAAGGACATGTAGCTTTGTTAGGTGGGTTAGAGAAGGGAGAAGCTAAGACCAGTGAGTATATGAACTAAATCCTGACCTCTCCTAGGAGAATTTAGGTAGACAGAGCCCAAGATAATATATCAAGAAATAATGATATAGTGTGTTATTTTGGAAACATGAATATGACGACCAGACATCCAAAATCAGAAAGCATGAAAAGTTTTGGGAATTAGAGTGGGATAAGTGTTGGATATTGGTGATTTGATATGGGAGACTCATTTTTTTCTTCATTAGTACTTAAGAGCTATTAACTTATTTGAACTATGTGTGTTAACACATTAAATATTTAAAACTTCTTGGGGCCAGCACTGTGGCGCAGCAGGCTAACACCCTGGCCTGAAGCACCGGCATCCCATATGGGCGCCGGTTCTAGTCCCGGCTGTTCCTCTTCCGATCCAGCTCTCTGCTGTGGCCTGGGAAAGCAGTAGAAGATGGCCCAAGTTCTGGGCCCCTGCACTCATGTGGGAGACCTGGAGGAGGCTCCTGGGTCCTGGCTTCAGATTGGCGCAGCTCCGGTCGTGGCGGCCATCTGGGGAGTGAACCATTGGATGGAGGACCTCTCTCTCTCTGCCTCTCCTCTCTCTGTATAACTCTGACTTTCAAGTAAATAAATAAATCTTTAAAAAATTCTTAAGATTTTGTGCAAAAAGACTACCAAAACAGTGGCTTTCAAGAATGAAAGCCTCTCTCCCCCACCCCCTTACGTTCTGTCCCAGTAAAACCTTGCTATTTTGCAAAACACACACACAAAAACAAACAAACAAACAAACAAAAAGAGTAGGAACTTATCTGAAATAAAGGACTACATGAGCAAAGGCATAGGGGCCTGAAAGTGAAAGATACACTGGAAATGCCAAGTTCTTCCATGTGTCAAGACTATCAGGGATGTAATAACAGAACAGAGTAGAAGATAAGAGTGAAAATGTCAGCTGGGCTTACCAAAAGGGTCCTCTGAGTAAAACAATAGAGTTTAGACAGTGAGCATCTGTGTCATTTTTATTTCCTGCCCCCAATATGAACCTAGCATACAGTAGTTGCCTAATAAATGCTTCTTTAATAAATAAAAACTATCTTCGGGCAATGTGAAGACTTCAAAGTTTTTAGGCAGAGCGGTAGCATTACTGACTTTTGGGAGATGAATTGAGATGAGAGGGACAAAAAGGAGGCTTTTGGATGGAAGGTGATGATATGAACCAGAGATTGAGCATGGTACTGGAGACTGAAGTATCTGCTTGAGAGATACCAATGAGACAGAAATGGATGTGAAGGATGAAGAAAGTGGATCCATCCAATATGGCCCTAAGATTTCTAGTTAGGAAAGCAGATAGATGACATGGTGCCATTAGTTGAGAAAACAGGGACAGGAACAAGATGAGATAAATGCAATTCTACATATATCAACTTCGAACGTCCAGAGGATGACATTTTAAAAACTGTGGTCCTTGAGCCATTAATAGCTTATGAAATCTGCATGGGGAGTTAAAATATTTTTTCAATGAAATGGAACATGATAAATTTTAAAGCACATCACATGTGGTAACATTAAGTGCTTAGTCATAGAGCTTTTTTTATTGCATGTAAATGTATTAACAGGTATAAAATGTTTTTCCTATCCTTGAGAACATTCATTCTCAGATACCCAGGCAATAGTGGTATTGGAGTTGACTTCCATCAGATCAAGAGAGCCACTCGGGCATATTTCTTTCCAACTCTGTATTCAGTATTTTCACAGTGTGTCTTAGTCCATTTACTGCTGCTAGAACAGATTACTACATTCTGGGTAAATTATAAACAATAGAAATTTATTTAGCTCATGATTTGGGGGGCTAGGAATTCAAAGATCATGACTCCAACATCATAACATCATAGAACAGCAGGTAAGCATGTATATGAGAGACAGAGAGAGCAAGAAAAATGAGGCAGAACTCATTCTTTCATCAAGAACTCACTCCCAAGATAACTAAGTCACTCCTGTGATAATGGTATTAATTCATTCTTGAGGGCAGAGTCCTCAAAGTCTAGCCACCTCTTAAAGGTCCCACTTCTTAATATTGTTACAGTGGTAGTTAAATTTCAACTTGAGTTTTGGAGGGAATATTCAAAGTATAGCACATTGTTAACTTGAAATCGACCCTGGTTGGAGACTTTATACCACAGAAGTGGGCAAACACTACGAAGCAGGATGATGCTCCCCTCCTCTGAGCTGGCACACTTCCAGAACCATCCTGTAGGAGTTAATTGTGCAAGTCTACAGCTCAACATGGAGACTTGAAAAGAAGTTGTTTATTTGGAAGTAAAAATGCTGTTGATGCATAGAATTAGCCATCAGAGTTTGTAGAAAGAGTAGAGGTAGAAGAGGGAGAGAGAGTTCGAAGGAACACTTCATTCAAGGAAGGTAGGAGGAAGAAGAGCTAGTGAGTGAAATTGTGAAATATTGATCAATGTGAAGATGGAAAAGGGAAGGGGAGAAGTTCTACATAAGTCTAGAGAGAGGAGGCTTTAGAAGATGAGTTTGATCAACCCTTGGCTAAACTGCATGAATGGAAACTGAAAAAGGGCTACGGGGTTTGGCAGTTAAGCTAGAATTGGTGACCTTTAACACCGAGTTAGTATAATGGGGGGGGGGGTGAAGCAAGAATTCAGTAAGGAGCAGAGATAGGAATTCAGTGCAGTAAATGCAGACTGATTTTAAGACAGTGTTTGGAGAAAAAAAGCAAAGAGACATGGCTATAGCCTGAATATTAGAGATCAAATGGAATGAAAATCTGATAGAGGTGAGTGTATTTTCTTGTGGATGCATGAGGCTTTCTGAGCCCCATCTAGATCCCAAGACGGCTGGAATTTACTCCTTAGCCATGGAGTCAGTCCATGTGGTGATGTACTTTTTCTAGAAACATCTGCCAAGTAGGAATAAGACCAGAATGGAGGGTTATTTGGACTTGCAAACAGGGAGAGTAGACCGGCCAAAAGCAAGGAAATTGTAGGAATTGATAAATTGAAAGGATAGAATTTTTCTAGTTGAGATATGCTTGATTTGTATTGCTAGAAATCAAAACAAGATAGAAAGTAAAAATAGAGTGGGGATTCCTCCATAACCCCAGTAATTACTTAAGAATTTGGTATGTATCTCCCAAACAGATTTCTATGTAAATAAGGTGATTAAGAGGGTAGAGTCAGATAAACCTGGGCTTGAATCCAGGTCTACCAATACTACTTCCAAGGCCTCAAGCAAGTTAATCCCTGTTTCTTAATTTATAAAATGAAAATAATAGCACCTACAACCCAGGTTTGTTGTGAGGATTAAAATGGATAATGTATGAAGGGGGTCGGACTCTTCAAAAATGGAAAATGGATATGATCAAAAAATTGCAAGGATTTCAGAAATTTTTGCACCAAAATAGATTTATCTTTTAATACCATTTTTCATAGACTTTAAAAAATATTTATTTATTTGAAAGGCTAAGTAATAGAGAGGAGGGAGGGAGAGATGAGAGAGAGATCTTCTACCCCGTGGTTCACTCCCCAAATGGCAACAACCACTGGGGCTGAGCCAGGCCAAAGTCAGGAGCTCAGAACTACATCCAAGTCTCCCACATGCATGGCAGAGGCTCAGGTACTTGGGACATCTTTTGCTGCTTCCCCAGGCACACTAGAAGGAAGCTGGGTCAGAAGAAAAGCAGCCAAGACTAGAAGAAGATTTCTGATATGGGATGCCAGCATCATAAGTGTTCAACCCTTGCACCACAATACTGGCCACTTCCATGAACTTTCAAAGTATCCTTGTGTTTAAAGTACTTCAAGCAAGGATTGGAAAGCAGAGTGGGCATTTCAGAGCTGTTAGCTACTAGTATTTATATATACTAGTATATGGTATATATTCATACCTATATATGAATAAACCTATGGGAGAGATAATTCATATATATAAATATATTTGCAAACACGAATAACCAGGAAGATACTAGTAGTTCTATGGGTTGAAAGAACCTACCAGGATGACAGAAGTGGGCAGGTAGAATATCATGATCAAAGAATGGAATTTAAGATTCAAGAATTTAGAGGTCAGTCATTTATTTCCAGAGATTAGCTGGTCTAAGGTGGCCATGCCTCTAAATTTATGAAGTAGAGAGAAGACAAAAAATTTTATTTGTCATTTTAGCCCATTCCAGAATTGATTATCTAATGCCATCCTTAGCCTTTATTCCTTACTGGCAGTGCCTTAAGATCTGTTGTGAACTTGGTTTACCTGGGGACTGCAGAACCATGTATGTTGCAACTAACTTGTTTGTATGCATTCACTGACTGGGCCTTATGATCCAGCTTGCCAAACCAGTCTCCAGGGTGTTTTTCTTTACCCAAATAACTGATAACACCTTTATTGACTCAATCAAGATGTAGGAGGCATTCTGTTAAGTCAGAAACTCCCAGGTTTCTGTCGTTGGCCCTATGAGTCAGTCACCCCGTACCTTTATCTACTTGGCAAGTTTCTGATTTCAAATGCATGACATACATGATGTTATCATTCTCTCCTCCTGTTCCAACTGTCACAACACAAAGCAAGGCCCTCAAAAGCTCTTCCCTTGACAAAATGTTGCTTTTGTTCACACAAGCTATAAACAAATATTATAGGGAAAATGGTATTTGTTATTAATGCATATACTGATGCATATTCTTTTGTGTTTTTTTCCAGATAAACAAATATCCTGAAATTATTAAATACTTTTATAAGATTCTATTTTCATTTAGCAGTATAACACTAAATCTAACCAAGCCAAGAAACTCATATCTACAGCATCAGTTGGAAAAGCCACATAATATTTATTCCTTGATAGCGGAAATTTGGGTCACTTTTTGGAACTTTGGTTTGTTTAAAATTTTTAATTTTTGAAATGACACTTTAATAAATGTCTTTGCAATTAAATCTTTGTGAATTCTTTTTAATGCAGATTCTTGTATTCTGACCCAGAGCCTATGAGCCTGCGATTTAAGACAAAAATGTATGTATTTATTTGAGAGAGAGAGAGAGGGAGATCCCATCTGCTGGTTCACTCTCCAAATGCCTGCACTGACCAGGGCTGGGTAAGGGCCAAAGACAAGAGCCAGGAGCTCAAACTCAGTGCAGATCTCTCAGGTCGGTGGGAGGAACCCAACCACCTGAGTCATCACTGTTGCCTCTCACAATCCACATTAGCAAGAAGCTGGAATAGGAGCTGGAGACGGAAATTGAACCCAGGTTCTCCAATGTGGGATATAAGCTTCCTAGGCAGTGGCTTAACCACTAGGTCAAAAGCCTGCATGGTTTTTGTTTTTTTTGTTGTTGTTGTTGTTGTTGTTGTGTTTTTTTTTTTTTTTTTTGACTGGCAGAGTGGACAGTGAGAGAGAGAGACAGAGAGAAAGGTCTTCCTTTGCTGTTGGTTCACCCTCCAATGGCCGCTGTGGCCAGCGCTGTGGCCGGCACACTGCGCTGATCTGGAGACAGGAGCCAGGTGCTTCTCCTGGTCTCCCATGCGGGTGCAGGGCCCAAGGACTTGGGCCATCCTCCACTGCCTTCCTGGGCCATAGCAGAGAGCTGGACTGGAAGAGGGGCAACCTGGACAGAATCTGGAGCCCCGACCAGGACTAGAACCTGGTGTGCCGGCGCCACAGGCGGAGGATTAGCCTATTGAGCCGTGGTGCCGGCTTCCTGCATTTTTTTTTTATAATGAGCATAAATTTCCAAAGTACAGCTTATGGATTACAATAGCTTCCTCCCCCTTCCCCCCGTAACTTCCCTCCCACCCACAACGCTCCCTTCTCCCACTCCCTCTCCCATTCCCCTTACATCAAGATTAATTTTCAATTATCTTTATATGAAGAAGATCAATTTAGCATATATTAAGTAAAGATTTCCTCATTTTGCTCCCACACAAAGTGTAAAATACTATTTGAGTACTAGTTATAGCATTAATTAAACACCTAAGAGTAATTGTGTATTAGTTACAGAGTTCAACCAATAGTTTTAAGTAAAATATAAAATGCAACTTTTGTATTGTTGTGGCTTCCCCCTCCCCAACCTCCCTCCCTCCCGTGGCCCTCCCCTCTCCCACTCCCTCTCCCATCCCACCCTTCATCACGTTTCATTTTCAATTACCTTCATATACTGAAGATCAACTTAGTATATACTAAGCAGGGATTTCAACAGGCTGCACTCACACAACCGCACAAGGTATAGGGTATTGTTCGACTAGTAGTGTTGTTTTTAAGTTTCATAGTAGAACACATTAAGGACAGAGATCCTATGTGGGGAGCATGAACCCAGTGACTCCTGTTGTTGATTTAACAATTGGCACTCTTATTTATGATGTCAGCAATCACCCAAGACTCTTGCTATGAGCTGTCTAGGCTATGGAAGCCCCTTGAGTTCACCAACTCTGAATTTGTTTAGTCAAGGCCGTATCACAGTGGAGCTTCCTTCCTCCCTTCAGAGAAAGGCGCCTCTCTCCTTGATGGCCTGATCCTTCTGCTGGGGTCTTGTTCACCAGGATCTTTCATTTAGATTGTTTTTTGCCACCGTGTCATGGCTTCCCATACCTGTGAGACTCTCATGGACCTTTTAGTCAGATCCGAATGTCCCAAGGATTGATTCTGAGGCAGGAGTGCTATTTTGGGCATTTGTCATTCTGTGAGTCTGCTGTGTGTCCTGTTTCCCCCGCAGGATCATTCTCTGCCTTTTGATTCTATCTTTCATTATTTGCTTATACTGGTCTTATTTGTGTAATCTCTTCGACACTTACCCTATCTTTTTGATCAGTTGTGTATTTATACTTATCACTTTACCAAGTGTGCTGGCATTGGTACCTGCCTCCTTGGTAAGGTTGAGTTGAAATCCCCTGGCACATTTCTAGTTCCACCATTGGAGTTAGGTCTGAGTGAGTATGTGCCGTCCTATATATTTCCTCCCTCTCTTATTCCCACTCCTATGTTTCATAGAGATCAATTTTCTGTTAATTTTTAAACACTTAAGAATGGTTGTGCATTGATTGCAGAGTTCAACCAGTGGTCTTGTGTAGAGCAAACCGAGCAACAACAACAACAACAACAACAACAAAAATACTAAAGGAACAAAATAGTAAGTTGTTCCTCAACAGTCTAGACAAGGGCTGCTCATGTCATTGTCTCTCATAGTGTCCATTTCACTTCAATGGGTATCATTTTAGGTGCTCGTTTAGTTATCATCGATTAGGGAGAACATGTGATATTTGTCCCTTTTGGACTGGCTTATTTCACTCAGCATGATGTTTTCCAGCTTCCTCCATTTTGTTGTAAATGCCCGGATTTCATGGAATTGCTTTTTCTGTGTTTGCTATAATTGCTGTATAGTGTTCCATAGAGTACATATCCCATAGTTTCTTTATCCAGTCATCCGTTGATGGACATTTAGGTTGATTCCATGTCTTAGCTATTGTGAATTGAGCTGCAACAAATATTGAGGTGCAAATGGCTTTTTTCACCCCTTTAATTCCATTTGGGTATATTCCAAGGAGTGGGATGGCTGGGTCCTGTGGTAGTGCTATATTCAGGTTTCTGAGGATTCTCCAGACTGTCTTCCATAGTGGCTTTACCAGTTTGCATTCCCACCAACAGTGGATTAGTGTCCCTTTTTCTCCACATCCTCACCAGCATCTGTTGTTGGTTGATTTCTGTATGTAAGCCAATCTAACCGCAGTGAGGTGGAATCTCATTGTGGTTTTGATCTGCATTTCCCTGATGGCTAGGGATCCTGAGCATTTTTTCATGTGTCTGTTGGCCATTTGGATTTCCTCTTTTGAAAAATGTCTGTTAAGGTCCTTGGCCCATTTTTTATTGGGTTGTTTGTTTTGATTCTGTGGTGTTTTTTGATCATTGTGTAGATTCTAGTTGTTAATCCTTTATCTGTTGTGTGGTTTGCGAATAACGTCTCCCATTCTGTTGGTTGCCTCTTCGCTTTCCTGATTGTTTTCTTTGCTGTTAAGAAACTCTTCAATTTGAGGTAATCCCATTTATTTATTTTATCTTTGATTACCCGTGCCTGTGGGGTCTTCTCCAGGAATTCTTTGCCTATTCCGATATCTTGAAGGGTTTCCCCTATGCTCTCAATTAGTTTCATGGTGTCGTGGCGCATCTCTAGTTCTTTGATCCTGTTGAGTAGATTTTTGTATAAGGTGTAAGGTAGGGGTCTTGCTTCATACTGCGACATGTGGACATCCATTTTTCCCAGCACCATTTGTTGAAGAGGCTGTCCTTGTTCCAGGGGTTGGTTTTAGGTTCTTTGTCGAATATGAGTTGGTTATAGATGTTTGGATTGATCTCCAGTGTTTCTATTCTGTTCCATTGGTCTATCCATTTGTTTTTGTACCAGTACCAGGCTATTTTGATTATAACTGCCCTGTAGTATGCCTTGAAGTCTGGAATTGTGATGCCTCCAGCCTTGTTTTTATTGTAAAGGATTGCTTTAGCTATTCTGGGTCTCCTATTTCTCCATATGAATTTCAGCATCGTTTTTCCTAGGTCTTTGAAGAATGACTTTGGTATTTTGATTGGTATTGCATTGAACTTGTAAATTGCTTTTGGGAGAATGGACATTTTGATGATATTGATTCTTCCAATCCATGAGCATGGCAGGTTTTTCCATTTTTTTGTGTCGTCTTCTATTTCTTTCTTTAGTGTTTTGTAATTTTCATCATAGAGGTCTTTGACCTCCTTGGTTAAATTTATTCCAAGGTACTTTATTGTTTTTGTGGCTATCGTGAATGGGATTGATCTTAGTAGTTCTTCCTCAGCCCTGGCATTGTCTGTGTATACAAAGGCTGTTGATTTCTGAGTGTTGACTTTGCATCCTGCTACTTTACCAAACTCTTCTATGAGTTCCAGTAGTCTCTTATAGGAGTTTATCGGGTCCCCTATATATAGTATCATGTCATCTGCAAATAGGGATAGTTTAACTTCCTCCTTTCCCATTTGTATCCCTTTAATTTCTTTTTCTTGCCTGATGGCTCTGGCTAACACTTCTAGGACTATATTGAATAGCAATGGTGAGAGTGGGCATCCCTGTCTGGTGCCAGTTTTCAATGGAAATGCCTCCAACTTTTCCCCATTCAATATGATGCTGGCCTTTGGTTTATCATAGACTGCCTTAATTGTGTTGAGGAATGTTCCTTCTAACCCCAATTTGCTTAGGGTTTTCATCATGAAAGGGTGTTGTATTTTGTCAAATGCTTTCTCTGCATCTATTGAGTTAACCATATGATTTTTGTTTCTCAATTTATTAATGTGATGTATTACATTGATTGACTTTTGAATATTGAACCATCCCTGCATACCAGGGATAAATCCCACTTGGTCCGATGAATGATCTTTCTGATGTGTAGTTGGATTCGGTTTGCCAGAATTTTGTTGAGTATTTTTGCATCTATGTTCATCAGGGAGATAGGTCTGTAGTTTTCTTTCTCTGTTGTGTCTTTTCCGGGCTTAGGAATTAAGGTGATATTGGCTTCATAGAAAGAATTTGGAAGGATTCCCTCTCTTTCAATCATTTTGAATAATTTGAGAAGAACTGGGGTTAGTTGTTCTCTAAATGTCTGGTAAAATTCGGCAGTGAAGCCATCTGGTCCTGGGCTCTTCTTTTTCGGTAGTGCATTTATTACTGATTCAATTTCTTCCATGGTTATAGGTCTGTTTAGATTTTCTATATCATCACGTCTCAGTTTAGGAAGGTTGTATTTGTCCAGGAATCTATCCATTTCTTCCAGGTTCCCCAATTTGTTAGCATACATCTCTTTGTAGTAGTTTATGATGATTCTTTTTATTTCTGTTGTGTCTGTTGTTACAATTCTGTGGGGAGCAGCTCGGACTAGACTAAGTTACTGGAATTAAGACTTGTTCTATGCACCTGCTCTCCCACAGTATGGCGCTGGGAGAGAAGGGGACAGCTTCTGCACAGCTGCCTCCA